GACTGTAGCAGCTACGACCTTGACCTCTCAGGACTGTAGCAGCTACGACCTTGACCCTTCAGGAGCCCTACAGCTACGACTTCTAGAACTCCCTAAGACCTCTACCCGACAGGTCTACAGATCGAACCCTTACACCTACAAACTCTACGACAGCTTCCTAACTGCTGCGAACACACACAGGTCACGGGATCAACTCTCAGGGTCAACACAGATACTGTACACAGATAAGGTGAGAGCTAGGGATCGAGCCCTGGGATCTGCATTCGCTACTGCTAACAGGTGAAAACCGTTTCACTCCCGCCAGCCTAAATTCGAGGTCCTCCGATAATAACTCAGTCCGAGGCAGGACATTTACCGTTTTTATCTCTCTCGTAAGCTCTAACTACATTGGGAGCTGTTTCTAGAAGTTCTGTTCTAGTAAACCGGCGGTCGTCCTCTGGTTCTTGATAAGCAAACCGGACCTTATACTGTTTCCGCGGGCGACCTCTACCTCGTGTTCTGAAGACGTCTTCACCTACGATGCCGTCAATGTCGTACCTTCCGTCCATGTCTGGAGGAATCATGGATCTCTTAGATGGAAACTGTTGACTTGTGACACACGGCAACAACTTTGAAGCATGAAACACAGGATAGGTGTGGAGGTGTGCTGGGATCTCTACTGTGTAGGACGGCCCATCCTCTCCGCCCTTAACTTCTAGAACTGGCCACGGTCCTCTATACGCAGGCAGTAACTTCTGCGAGATGTTTTCCTCAGGAGCAAACTCTTTGGACTTGACCCAGACCAGGTCGCCTACTTGAAACTGTGACAGGCAACGGTGCTTATCAGCTTGCTCTATCATTCGGTGCTGGGACTTCCTGAGGTTCTCTACCACGGTAGCTAACTCTTTCTCGTGCTGTAATGCGAACTCCCTAGTACCGGGCGGTAGCCTGTGGATCTGGTCCCCATCAAGTCCCTCAAACGGTCCACGTGGTTTAAGGGACTTGTGCAACTCATTGGGAGTGTGATCTGGTCTAATGTACATTCGCAGAACTTGCTGCAGGATCTTGTTCATTTGTTCAGTCTGACCGTTAGTCTCTGGATGACGGCCAGATAACATCAGCAACTTGGAGCCATAGACTCTCATCAACTCCTGCCAGTTCTGACTAGTGAACCGGGTGTCTCTATCACTAACTATAGACAGTGGAATCCCGTGTTCACTAACCCAATGATCAAAGAACTTCTGAATAACTAATTATGTGCGCGCCTCTGAAGGCAAAGGAACAAAAACAGCATACTTACTGAATCTATCAACTATTACCATGACTGGGCTCTGGCCATGCCAACTCTTGACATGGGTGTCCATAAAGTGAATGGACACTGAATCTCCTGGCTGATCAGGAATAGGCAAGGGCCTGAGGGGCACGCGTAGAGGTCTTATTTCTCTGGCAGACCCTACAACTGCACACATACTCTATGCAATCCGCCTTCATTCCAGGCCATATGTACGCGCGCATGAGGTTAGCTAGAGTCCTTTGCCAACCAAAATGTCCCTCAGTATCGTAGCATTCCCCTAAGATCAAACTACGGATCTCTTCACTGTTAGGAACGCACAATCGGTCAACTACGTTAGTCTTCTCGAATAGCAGCCCATCAGTAGTGCGGTAATCTGGTTCGGACTCTAGGCCTCCTTTACTCTCTTGAGGAGGTCACCATAGATAGGGTCCTGCGCATAAGCTTCTCTAATTTTCTGTTGCAGGTCTCTCCCTATATCCAGATAATGAACTATCGCTCCAAAGTAGACAACTCTCCTACTCAGAGCGTCCGCAACTACATTATACTTCCGTTTGACTGGCTTAAGCTCAAAGTCATGCTGGTTTAACTCTGCAGCCCACCTAGTAAGCTTAGGTGTCATCTTGGCCTGCGTCTTCAGCCACCTTAATGTCTCGTGGTCTGAGCAGACTACTACAAACCTATCTAACCACGACGTAAATAAGTCATTCATACAACGCTGAAAAGTTGTTGGCGCGTTGGTTAGTCCAAAGGGCATAACTATAAACTCGTAGTGCCCATATCTAGTCCGGAACGCGGTCTTATACTGACCATCCGGATGGACCTCTATCTGATGATACCCGGACTTAAACCCTGTACCCGACCTAAGAGATCGTCTATACGAGGCGATGGCTCCGCATTCTTCACTGTGATAGCATTGAGACCCCTATAGTCAATGCACATTCTAAGGTCTCCCTCCTTCTTTGGGACAAATAGAACAGGTGCTCCAAATGGAGACGAATTGGGCCTAATCCAACCCTTCTCTAGGAGTTCGTCTAACTGCTTGCGCAGCTCCTCCAATTCCCGCGGGGACATCCTATACACTGCTCCTTTAGGAGTCCTACTGCCAGGCTCTATCTCAATGCGATGCTGGATGGGCCGCAGGACTACTCCCGTAGGCAGCTTAGCTAAATCTACGTGCTCTTCCAGCAGCTTGGCAATAGCGGGATCTATGGGCTTTTCCTCTTTAGGCTCGGTAACTGGCCTGACATAGGCTACAAAGACCTGTTCTTCTAGTTGCTGCTCCTTCACTAATCTTGCAAACGCAGGAGCGCTAAGGCAGCAATGTGCCAGGGAGTCATCTACTTCTGACACGTTGAACATACCGCAGTCTTGACCTCACGTGCTGGACTAGGGAGCTTACACTCGTGCTCTCTCATATGGAGTGTGGCCCCGACTGCCTCTCCCCAGTCCATTCCTAGGACTATATCGAAGGGGAGGCTGTCCTCTACAAGGAGAGTCAAGGCATGGAGAACTTTCTCCACTTTCCCATCTTTCTCTAGGCGAAAGTACGCCTGGACTCCCTCTACGTAATCCTCTACTCGCATTGTGCGATTGTCTGCGAGGATACTCACAATGGGGTCTGTTAACTTCTAGACTTTTAGCCCCAACTTCAACTTCTGCTGCGCCTTTCTACTAATATAGTTGCGTGTGGCCCCACTATCTACTAGGGCCCCTACTCTACCTCTAAAAATCTCCACGTCTACTAAAATTGGTTGTCCCCTACTCTCCTTCTTCATCTTGGCCCAGGCAGGCATTCTCTCCTTCAACTCATCGGCCACGCCTGTGAGGGAAGTGCCTAGAGAGACTCGGACACAAGCACTCTCTGGACAGCTATCTAGGCACCGGCCTGCAACCTCTGCCATCGGCACGTGGTGTGGGAGTTTCTTGCCGGCTTGCGCTCGCTTCCCCACATGACCTTGTGGTAGGGGCAGTTGCCACCCCTACCGGAGGCTGCCTTTTGACCCCTAGGCAGCCGGACGGGCCTCTCTATACTGTGGACAATATTTGATGGTGTGGCTAGGGTCACCGCAATATATGCACTGACCTTGATTCACACACTTTGCCATAAGCGCTGGTCCAAGCCCCAGCCTTCCCAAGGCCGGCCCTGGGTGCCAACCGCCTCTCCAAGAGGGTGCCCTGTTTCCCCTATTCGGTGACCTATTCCCTCTATTGGGCGACCCATTCTCCGAACAGTTTTGCGGGGGACCTTGACCCCTTCCTCCCACGTGGCAGTTTCCTCCTCTACCGCCAACCCCCTGATCGCTCTGGGAACGGCCCCCTGAGGCCCGACCCCCTTGGCCCTGGCCTCTACCTCCTCCTTGCGGCCTCCCTCCACCCTCGACAGCAGTGTAGGTCATCCCCTGACTAACGCTATTGTCCTCATCCTCAAGCCCCCACTCAATCTGCTCGTAGGGGACTTCGTCTACACCACCCTCATCTAAACTAAGGATCAAGCGATCCTTGGTCTTGACTTATCCTGAGATGGTGCGACCTTTCCACTTTTTGCCCTTGTCTAGGTCCTTATGCCAAAAAGTGGAAATTGACATGGACCGTGCTTCAAAGGCTACCACTTCCCTGCTCAAAGCGTCGTAGGTCATGGTAGGCTGTTGACTCTTCTCAAAGAAATGCCCGCGCAGCTGTTCGGGCATTGCACGATAGAAGACGTTGACCAGTTGGGTCTCAGTGACCCCATGGTTCGGGACAGCGACTAGCTCGTCCATCACACCCTTGAGTGTTCTAGCACTCTTCCACTGACGAGAGTGGATGGTTTGCAATCTATCGGAGGCTTTGACACTGCGTGAGACATCTGTGAACCGTTCGCGTAACAACTTAAGGAAGTCAGTGAGGGGAGTGAACGCAGAATAAGTGACTAAATCATCATTGCAGTTGGCGGCGCGGCACAAGGAACGGGCGAAGCTTGCCGCTTCGTCTCGGAGGGCATGGACGGCTATAAGGACATGCTCGTCCGGGGAGTCCTTCTGCAGATGTACGCAGGTTTTGACATTGGCTTCCCAATTGTCACAATTCTCCTCTTTCTTCCCGCTATAGGAATCAAGGAACTTGACCTTGACATGCTCCCTTCGGGGACGTGCTTCCTCCTCCTTGGGAGCAATCAGTTTGGCGCCTTCTATGGCGCCTTCTATGGCGCCCGTGCAATAACGCTCCGCGGCACCTTTGAGCCCACCTGCGTTGATAATTCCCTTCCAAAGTCCCTGAGTCCCAATTGTATAGAGCGCAAGGCAACATCCTGACCTCTACCAAACAGATATTGTTCTTCCTGGACCTGTGTCAGGCGCTCTATGTTTCTCACCATGATCTCCATCTTCCCCAGTAGGTCCACCTGCGTCGCCATCTGCGTTCTTTGCTTCTTTACCTCCAATTCTTTCGCCGACTGGCTCGCCACCTCCATTTTCCTTTTCTTCTCCCTCGTCAGTCGAAACTTCCACTCCATCCTCTTCTCATCTTCTATAGCCTGCCGCTTGAGTGGGTCTTCTTCTGCATCCCACTCTCTCATAACCGCCCTCTTGTTCTTCCCTGGGCACATACATCAGTGCCTCCTCTTCTTCTCCCAGGGATAAACCAGCAAGCCACTCCGTAATCTTCTTCTCCATCTGATCTTCCTTTGTTCCATTGGATTCTCCTCTCCCTCCTGTCCTTCGTCTTTCCAGTGGCAGTTCTTCTACCTCTTCCCTCCTCTTCTATTGCCTTGAGCTTCTCTGCTTTTTCTTTAACCTTTCTTTTTCTCTGGCCATCTCCTCCTCAATCTTCTTCAACGTCGCCGTTTGTTCTTCTATCAAGGTCTTCTTCTTCTCTCTTCTCTCTTTCACGATGGCGGCGGCCTTCGTATATTGCTCTGCTGTATAAGGGGAGGTGCAAATTCCTGTACGCGTGTCTAACATGGTGACAGACGCACAACCAAGTGACGGTTCCGCTCCTTGCCACTTAGACGTCCCCCTTGACTGACTTACTTGAGACTGACTCAGTCTATGGACCACAGGATCCGTATAGAACCCTGTCAACTATCATCTCTAGCCTAGACTCTAATACTACAGTTGTCACTACAGGATCTATTGCTGACCAGGAGGCATTCAAGGAGATTCCCCGTAACTCCTCAGGAATTCTTTAACGTTGCAAACAGGACAACGCGGTCAGTAGATCCTCTCAAGACTTAGACGGCCCGGTGTGCAGCCCACAGCTCGGATTTTGGGCTTACCGTGCCACACCAAGCAGCCCGCCGGTCAGTACCGGTCCTTGGAAGGGTTCGTGTCCTCCGGGACAGTCGAGTCGTTAGACACAGCCTTTAACCCTACTCGGCCCGTGTGGGTTTGGTCAGCGAGGCCCTATCCTTCATACACAAAGTCCTATCACCTGAAAAAGAGACTCAATGCAAAAAGAAGAGACAAACAGACTCAGACTCAGCAAGTACCATAGGGTGAGTGCACATCCATAAGGCGAAAGGGTAGGCTAAGGGCTTGGCGAGATTATACCAACTCCAGCTTGGTCAAAATCGTGGGCGACAGCTTCGGTCAACGCCTTGGTCAATGCTTGGTCAACGCGGTCACACCCCGGTCAACGCTCCGGTCAACCCTCTAGGTCGGCTATGGCTGCCGACACCTTCTTCCTCGCCAACCTCCCTTCTCTTCCTCCTCCTTCACCTTTCTTTTTCCTCGCCTTTTCTTCCTTTCTTTTTTTTTTTTTTTTGTTCACCCTCTGCTACGTTTGTCTTCAACTTCGTTGCCCTTCCTTCCTTCTCCCTCTGCTATGTCTTCTCTTTCATCTCCGGTCTCTCCTCCCTTCTCTACTTCACCTTCCTCCGCAGCGCAGTTATGGCGGACTTCTTCTTCACGGTGGCGCACTTCAGCTATGGCGCCCTATGATGGCCCGCGTCTCTCCCCTGCTGCACGGGGATGGCGCGTGAGATAGCGGGTACCAGCTCCGATACCAGTGCAATCAGACTCGCTCACTTCTTCGCTTCGCATGCCTACAAACAGATGGTGATTCACATTGGCGCATAGCGGCCCAACTCAAAGCTCAAAGATATGGAAGCCAAGAACACAGTTCAGATGCAAACTCGCTTCAACAGGCTATGGTGCATCAACACCTATACATCCCAACTCTCGTCACTGTGTCCAACACCACTGTTCGCTCACACTTCAACTCTGGATCACCCTGGATACCCCACGCATGCACTCTGTAACACACACGCATACACACCTATCACTAACTACGGCAGATATGGAAGCCAAGAACACAGTTCAGATGCAAACTCGGTTCAACAGGCTATGGTGCATCAGCACCTATACATCCCAACTCTCGTCACTGTGTCCAACACCACTGTTCGCTCACACTTCTGGATCACCCTGGAT